TCTTCTTCTCAGTGGCGTCATGTACGCGCCTCTTCTTGCGTAGAAGCCATATTTCCTTGGCTCTGTGCTTGCGACTTTCCATCATGCTCCTGTACAGATTCCGATGTTTCCTCTTGATCATTCGTTCCCGTAGTCGGTACTCTTGCATCTCCTGTCGCTTCTTCTCCCCTGGATCTTCTTTCGTCACCGCACCAGTTTTTACTTTCATCTCTTTTTTCTGCGATCAAGATTATACAGATAGTAAAGAAAATAAAGTAAAGTATTTACTGATAACCTACCTTTTTCAATCGCTCTTTTTGCTTCTGTTTCTCATCCTTTGACATTTCTATACCATCTTCTTCGTCGTCTATTTCTTTCTTAATATCCTCGCCCAAATCTGAATTTTCTTCCTCCGATTCACCTTCTTCCTCTTCCTCTTCGTTCTCATTTTCTGATCCTTCTTCAGACTCGTCTTCTTCTATTAAACGAAGACAATGCAATTTTGAATTATTTATTCCTCGTTAAATGTCAATCGCTGAAAATATGAGCGTACCATCGTTTAATTTAAATGAAGGATCCGTAAGAGCACGCTCCTCTGGTGGAATATATGTCTGATCAAGTTGACTGTTCGTGAATGGTGAAAGATGCGGCGGAAGCATACAACCTATTAAGTATTTTTCTACAGGCAATAATTCTCTGGCATTCGCAGAATCGAAAACCCATTGTGGTTGCACATAATACCTACCAAAATGTCAAATAGTGAAAAACCGATGAAAAAGTTAACAAGAACTTTAAAAAAATATTTCCAAATGTTACCTAGAAATGTATTGTTTATCCATACTAGGTCTGTCTACTATATGATGCGTGATCGTTTCATCGTTTTCGTCGAATGTTGCTCCGACAAAGAGCAACTTATCCCAAGATACTTCAGCTCCAAAACAACGTAAAATAAAAACTAAAGGCTCCCTTGGTACTTCTCTGTTTAAAAACACTTTTAAACCTTTAAAAAGGGTTTTCAATTTTTTAACTTTTTCTGCTTCTTTCCTGGCTTCTTCCAATTTTTGAGCATCACCTTCCTAAGATGAATGATTACGTATTAATGTATTCAAAAGAATAAAATATTCGTTTAAATCATACATACATTTGTAAACTGATCCATCTCCAGTTCTTCATCTTCTGGGCTTTGCACTGAGGGATCCATATTTACTAATGGTACATTTAATGCAGCTATCCTTTCTGATACATATGCTTCTTCATCCACAAGTACTTTTTCACTATTGTCTATACATTAAATATTTGACATACAAAAATAAAATGTATTATTTATAAAAAAAATGTTTAAGAAAAATCATCTTACCACTGGTAGTAAGTTTTGGAGGATAATACAAATTAAGGTTATTATAAAGCCTATAATTAACAAAGCCTAACATTATAATATAAAATTCCACAAATGTAGACATAATTCTGAAATCTACATCGTGCTTTGATTGAGGTTCAAAACTAAAATGATGCGGTACAATCCATGTTATTGTTTCACCTTTAATTTCTGCTTGATAATAATATCCTTTAATGGAAACAAAAACATTACGTAAAGCTTTAGCAACAATTACAGCATTTAAAAATTCAACTGTCAATCTTCTACACAACATAGATTGATCTCTTGGTATGCGATTGAGAGATGGGAATGTGCTGAACAAGAAACACAAAGTCAAACAATCATCCAGATCTCTGAGTGCATCAATGAATGTTGGATAACGTTCTTTCACAATGTGATCTAACGTTAAAGTAGGATGATTCCTTAAATATCTTCTCATTTCTGAAAATTCTCTTAAACTTCTGGCTCTGCTAACTTTTCTGTTAAATACCTGAAGAAATATCGTTCTATTAAATGTTTACATATCCTTGATTTACATATATTGCAGTGACAGCCAGCTAATGTGAAGTACCTTGAAATCTCTTATTTTCCATATTATTGGTTCATGCATCAAAAATTGAATATCTTTTTTGTGATATAATGTTTTAATGCCAGGTTCTCCTTTTTGTGCTCTTTTACGGTTACGTGGTTCTCTTGGGTAAATACCTTTTATTATGCACAGTTTGCGGAAGTCATTTAACGTAAGCTGCAGTTTTTTTAAAGCAGCTTTCCTCGACATAAATTGTGATCCCTCGCCGGACTTATACTATAAATTTAAAAGTTTGACGAGAAAAGTAATACAAAAATAAACAATATGTATATATTTCAAATATTTTTTTCTATTGTCTCCTCTCCTAAAATAACCTCAACAATACTTTTGTAAACGATTATCAAGTGAATTATACATAATTTTAACAAATACCTTCTTCTTTCCTATTACAACCATCTTGAATTACTATTTTTATACAATTAGAAATATAAAAAGTACATTAACGTGAGGAACAAATTGAAAAAGAAATCCACGTGTTCGTTTCAATGACAAAAAACAGAAGACTAAAATTTAGAAATATGAAGCAGCGCCACCTTATGGCATTATGACTTAATAAAGCTCGATATCTGATAAGATATTCTCAACATTGAGAGTAAGAAAACAAATTGCGTTTATTATTAATATATTTTATTGTAATGTATTTTTGATTGCGCACAGCACAAATATATACAAAGTTGTACGTAGCGTATTCTAGCCTTCTTAAGCGTCTGCGTCTGAATCGCTTTCACCATCACTTTCATCCTCCAATTCCGGTATCGGAAAACGTAATATAGCTGCTATTCCAGTAAGTTGTTCTAATTCTAATATAATAGCATATTAATCAAACTATTGTACAAGTATTCAAAAACATCAAAATTTAAACAATTAACTAAATAACTTACGTTCACCCGATACATGCAGGCTCGAAAATATCTTCACGTCTCCGCCAGAATCTCTTACACTTTCAACCAACTCAACGTATTCTTTCCGTTCATTAACATCTTGACATCTGCATATAATTATTACAATAATGAGTACATAAAATAAATTTAATTGCCAAACGATGTTATTCAATTGTTTACCTAAATAATTTATCTGAGATCAATAATGTTTCTATAGCTTGAGATTCATTAGCTTTGTGAATATGCTTCTTCCCATAAAAAGCTCTTAATGGATCAGTCTCTAATATTGTGTAAAATGCTTCTAGAGCTTTTACTTCACCTGCTGCTTTTGTCTCAGAAATTCGAGACATTACAGCAGGGTCAGCCAAAACTTCTATTATAAATAATTAAGATATTTATCGTTATATTTGCTTCATTTGATTCATGTAAATCATGTAATTTTGAAATATTTAATATACCTTTCAACGAGTGTTTGAAGCCAGAACTAGAATGCACCAGCAAAAATTTTCCTTTATTTTCTAATATTAGTTTGTTATCCGTGTTTATGGCTTGTTGTACTAGGTAATCCATGAATTGATCTTTAACAAAACCAGGACTAGCAAGAATGATGCACTTTACAATATCAAAATTAATGTGTCTCAAAATTCCTTGCATTATGTTATCATAAAATCTTGTTAATCCCTACAAATTTATTGAATATACATATAAAAATTTATTCAAAATTATCACAAAAAAAAAAAACTATGGATTAAACCTTTTCATGCTGTGTAACATTTCCTTTCCTTTTCCTAGGAATAACTTGATCTATTTTTGCACGATCTATTGTCATATTGGCAGTTATTAAGCAAATATATGCTATACCTTCTTGCATTACCACAGCAGCAACATCTGCATTCTGAAGTGAGTATTATATATTACTAAACATGAACAGTGATTCCCATTATTCCTATTATTACAATTTTACCTGTGCTGGGTCACATGCAGTATCAATTCTTTCTAAAGCAATTGAATCCCATTTAGCTTTAGTAATGGTATATTTATGATTTCGTGTTATTTCACATGAGTGATATGCTCCCATCTATAAAGAATATTAATTGTACATTAAATATATTTCTCCATCATTTGTATTAATAATTCTTCAAATTAGATTACCTTGACATATTTATTCTCCTCTACATTTCTACCTTTCAGTCTTAAAACACATGCTTGTGTATCAAAATCAATACCTTCTACGCATATAGTAAGAGTAGTTCTAACTCTATAACTGTTAGAACTACCAGTTGCAGATTCCGTTTGCACTTTTCTATAAGAAGCATAATAAGATTAAATGTTACACATAATTTTTTAAAAATCTGATATATAATTATAATTCCTACCTAATAGTAGAAGCACTAACAAAATTTCCTTCACAAATAAGATTATATGTATGCCACATGTCTTCTGTATTTTCTGGTATAAGGGACACACTCCTAGAAATTGTTTCTCACTTTTAGTTTTAATATTTTTCACTGTCAATGTCATCTTTTATTGATAAAAGCAATTTACTCACCCTTTTCCATCTCTATCAATACTTTTTGATACAAGCTTCATTTTATATAATTTGTCTCATATATTAAATCTAAACATTTAAAGCATTCAATGTTATATTATACCAATTTTAAATAACTTATTTAAATAATCGTCAGGGTACATTTTGGATGAATTTCATGCAACGTTTTTATCAAAATTCTGCCTTTTTTACGAGGGATGTTTTAAACTCTTTTCAGTACACTATACAATTACGAATAAAAAGAAACGTAAAACAGAAAAAATTTATTTGCAATTCATTTTTACATATCATTTTACATATTAAAGTTAGAATCAATGGTGTTATAGGTTAGGTACCAGACATGTCCGCTTAACGGTTACAGAATTTCTGATTAAATGATGTAATTACCTCAAAAATAATTTCACAAATTCGTATTTAGGAAAATCATACATTCCATATTTTATGCTTAATTGGAATGACGTTAAATAAATTGTGCCATATGTCAAACATAATACTTATCCGTCGATCGACAGTCACACTCATGGTTTGATTAACGTATTATGTCTAAAAACAGGTTTACAGATGGCGTAAAATGAAGTTTCGAAACACGAATCACGAAAACGTGCTAATTAATAATAAACACATTGACCAAATACTTTTTTGTAATTGTAATTTATTCGCTTCATTTTATTATACTTTCATCAGTTATTTTACATTTGTACATCAAATAGGAATAACACTTGTGAATAGACAACATTCTCGATGCTATTTTCGCGCAATTTTCGAACTTTATTTCTCGAATTTTAGGATTTTTGCGATTATTACGCGTACTTAACGATATCCGGACATAATTTATTTAATTTTGTAATGCAAAATTATTTAAAGAATGAGTGTTTCGTAATGGGAAGTGAGAGTGGTGTCTAAGAGAGAAATAAATTGACTGTAAACTACTGTAAAACGCATTTAAATACAGAGAGACGAAAATCGACGACCGGCCAGGCGAGTGAGTGACGCTTTCTCGACGAAAATGGAACGAGAGAAAAGAAGTGGTGAAGTTTTACGAGGAGAAAGTAGAAAGCATGATTCTTTCGGAGATGAAGTCTAAACGGTGTCCCTTCAGCTTCGACGGTTCTCAGTTGGAGGATTTTGGGTGGAAACTTTCTACATAGCGCAGAGCAGGGCTGCTTAAGCAGCTGTTCTGGTAACGCAAAAGTGCACTTTTTTCCCGCGAATCCGAAGTGAGAGCAACGATCGGAACATATGACGTAACAGACGTAAAAAGATTGGGAAACAACGATTGCAGTGGGAATACAGGCCAGTAGGTGATCACATCGCATTGGTTACCTTTTCCAACACGTGCCTAAATAGAGGACATATGTACTTAATAAATGATAATAAGTAATAAGTAAATATAATCCAAATTTTTCGGGAATCGCGCGCGCGCGACACAAAGTTGCAAAGAAGAGATCGCGCTTGCAACTTTGTTGTCGAAAATCGTCCTCGAAAACTGCACAAAGTTGCAAACCGAAGCGTCTTGCAACTTTGTGCCATTTTCAGGAGCAATTCCAGACAACAAAGTTGCAGACACGCTCTCTCTTTTTGCAACTTTGTTGCCGGGAGGCGCTCCCGAAAAAGGCACAATGTTGCAAACGCGATATCGGGTTTGCAACTTTGTTGTCGAAAATCATCAACGAAAAATGCACAAAGTTGCAAGACGCGCCGATTTGCAACTTTGTTGCCGGGAGTCGCTCCCGAAAATGGCACAATGTTGCAAACGCGATATCGGGTTTGCAACTTTGTGCATTTTTCGAGGACGATTTTCGACAACAAAGTTGCAAACCCGATATCGCGTTTGCAACATTGTGCCTTTTCGGGAGCGCCTCCCGGCAACAAAGTTGCAATCGCGATCTCCCCTTTGCAACTTTGTTGCCGGGAGGCGCTCCCGAAAAAGGCACAATGTTGCAAACGCGTTATCGGGTTTGCAACTTTGTGCATTTTTCGAGGACGATTTTCGACAACAAAGTTGCAAACCCGATATCGCGTTTGCAACATTGTGCCTTTTCGGGAGCGCCTCCCGGCAACAAAGTTGCAATCGCGATCTCCCCTTTGCAACTTTGTTGCCGGGAGGCGCTCCCGAAAAAGGCACAATGTTGCAAACGCGTTATCGGGTTTGCAACTTTGTGCATTTTTCGAGGACGATTTTCGACAACAAAGTTGCAAACCCGATATCGCGTTTGCAACATTGTGCCTTTTCGGGAGCGCCTCCCGGCAACAAAGTTGCAATCGCGATCTCCCCTTTGCAACTTTGTTGCCGGGAGGCGCTCCCGAAAAAGGCACAATGTTGCAAACGCGTTATCGGGTTTGCAACTTTGTGCATTTTTCGAGGACGATTTTCGACAACAAAGTTGCAAACCCGATATCGCGTTTGCAACATTGTGCCTTTTCGGGAGCGCCTCCCGGCAACAAAGTTGCAATCGCGATCTCCCCTTTGCAACTTTGTTGCCGGGAGGCGCTCCCGAAAAAGGCACAATGTTGCAAACGCGTTATCGGGTTTGCAACTTTGTGCATTTTTCGAGGACGATTTTCGACAACAAAGTTGCAAACCCGATATCGCGTTTGCAACATTGTGCCTTTTCGGGAGCGCCTCCCGGCAACAAAGTTGCAATCGCGATCTCCCCTTTGCAACTTTGTTGCCGGGAGGCGCTCCCGAAAAAGGCACAATGTTGCAAACGCGTTATCGGGTTTGCAACTTTGTGCATTTTTCGAGGACGATTTTCGACAACAAAGTTGCAAACCCGATATCGCGTTTGCAACATTGTGCCTTTTCGGGAGCGCCTCCCGGCAACAAAGTTGCAATCGCGATCTCCCCTTTGCAACTTTGTTGCCGGGAGGCGCTCCCGAAAAAGGCACAATGTTGCAAACGCGTTATCGGGTTTGCAACTTTGTGCATTTTTCGAGGACGATTTTCGACAACAAAGTTGCAAACCCGATATCGCGTTTGCAACATTGTGCCTTTTCGGGAGCGCCTCCCGGCAACAAAGTTGCAATCGCGATCTCCCCTTTGCAACTTTGTTGCCGGGAGGCGCTCCCGAAAAAGGCACAATGTTGCAAACGCGTTATCGGGTTTGCAACTTTGTGCATTTTTCGAGGACGATTTTCGACAACAAAGTTGCAAACCCGATAACGCGTTCGCAACATTGTGCACTTTTCGGGAGCGACTCCCGGCAACAAAGTTGCAATTCCGATACGCGCTTTGCAACATTGTGCATTTTTCGGGAGCGACTCCCGGCAACAAAGTTGCAATTCCGATACGCGCTTTGCAACATTGTGCATTTTTCGGGAGCGACTCCCGGGTACAAAGTTGCAAGCGCGATAGCGCGTCTGCCACAATGTGCATTCGAGAATAATACGAGTTAACGATGTTACCAGCTAGAATGACGCTTGTAACAATGTTAGATTCATGCATAGTGTTTGTAATAACGTGCGCGTTTGCAAAATAACGCTTCTGTTAATGTTGCAATCAGAAATAGAGATTCCAACAGTATTTGCGTTCAAATATAACGCTTCAAACAATGTTGCATTCAAAAGTAACTCGTACAACAATGTTTTGCATTGGAAATAGTGCTTCCATCGATGTTGCATTCGAGAATAGAGACTGCAACAATGTGTGCATTCAAGTTTCAAAGATGAACAGTGAAATAAAAGTATCTTGCTACTTAAAAATCGCCGTTCATCGATATAAAAGTTCTTTTCCTGCTACTGCAACCGTGTCCGACATCTCGATCAATTGGCAACCTCAAGTCGCACGGGAACAATGGCTCCGCGCAAAAAAAACGTCATTATACATTCTCAACATATTTCTCCACCCCTATAAGTAACACCTCTACGTAGCTATACACATCTGAAAGGCAACTCTTTTGGCTACATTTTCGTATAACTTTTATTAACATATTCGCTTTAGTTTAGGAGTTTATGAGTTATAAAACATTATATGGGAGCGTCCCCTATTCATCGTACTCGAGTATACCCGACTCTTATGAACAATTGCTAGTATCTAATAAACCACATCACTTACGAGTATAAGAATTATTGCAGAGTATAGATAAAAGTCCATTCTTCATTCCTCAATTCTAAAAATTTACAAAATCATCCTATTTATCGAGTTATTAATGAGTTTTCACCGGACCACGTGGCTAAGGCCCTGGGAGGTGGAGCTCAGCGGTCCACCAGCCAATGGGAAGCGTTTTTTCTCTATCCTTGTCGCACACTAGTGCTTTCCTTGCTAATACCTCTGTTTATATTCTGTGTTTCTATTAAGATATTGTAGCGCGTCACTTGACACGAGATGGCGTTAGTCACGTCCGCCATTTTTTTCTGTCCTTCTCTACCCCTATTTCTTTCCTTGTCTAACCCATAATGCTATCCTTATCTATCGCTATTCGTTTCCTTGTCTTTCTTCGCTATTACTATACTTGGCATGCCTGTTATATTTAATTAATACTTTCGGAAAATAAGTTGCAATGAAAATTACTTCCAATGAAAATTTCAATTATTTGGAATAATTGTTGCCAAGACACTCCTTACTAGATTGTCAAATAAATATTATTAAATGATTGTCTATTATCGTACTACATTATCAACAGCTGATTAAAAATTATTTGGCTGAGTCATTTACCTACACCACACTCAAGCGGCGGCAGTGTAAGACCGATGAGTAGTGGAGATGCCTGGTGCCTGTTTAAAGATAAACATTAAAGTATTACACGTAACTTTAACAGATAAAAATTATAATGTTAATTGTTTGTTTGCACAATTCTTTCTGTACACAATAAAAATACTTTTTCTGTAGCAATATACCTATATATTATTTTCATAAATCTATATAATTTAACATGTACACATTTATTTAAATAACTTCGATAATTTCTTCTTTTCCACTTGATCTCCTTCCTTGAGAACTGCAGAAAATGCTTTCAACTCCTTTTCAACTGCTTTTTGTAATGTAGGGTCTAACTCAGCGGCCCGTTTTAAGTCCTGAATAGCTTTTTCTTCATCCCAAGCACCTATATGTGCTTTACCTCTCCTATATAATGCTTTTACATTATCTAAGAGGAATATACATATTAATAATGTATTTTTTATACATGCATAAAAGAAAATATTTATATAAAGTAACAAACCTGGATCATGCTTGAGAATTGTTGTACAGTGTTCTATAACTGTATAATACTCTTTTTGAATTAATTTACATTGTGCATAATTTAAAAGTAATGGAGTTTTCAATTGATTCAAAGCTAACCATTCTTCTTCATTTGGTTTTTCACTAAAAATTGTATATAATAATCAGTAACATACTTTACATACTAACACAATGATACCATTAAAATAATAATATTAAATACTAACGCGAGCATAAGTTGTTCTAATATTCCAATGCCTTTTGCATACATATCACAAGCACCATCATAATTTTTCTCCTTGAATAATACATTACCCTTCTCTTTTATATTTGGAATGCTTTTTAATTTCTCATCTTCAGTCATTTGCCATGATTCTTTTTCATATTCATCAGGTAAAATTACTTTAACAAGCTCTAAAATATTAGCATGTTAAAAAGTAAAAAGAATGATCATATACCTACTCAATTGATCAATTGATCAAAGTATTGGTAATTACCAATTGTAAATTCTAAATCCTGTGGGTACTTGATAAGTTCATTTAAATCATCATATCCAATTCCTTCATTTTGTAAAGTTACACCACAACAATGATGACTACGTTTCTCTGATTGTGGCTTGCCAACTTCTCTTAGAGTTTTAGATACAAAGGGATATGCTGTAACTAGCTAAAACAATAGGTACTATTAAAGTATAAATTTTAAGCTATCCAGTAATTTCTTACATTACATTAAACATACACTTTTATCAACTCTGAAGCAAGCCACTTCATTTAATGTCATTTTTTGTACAACAGCTTCCCAAACTTCAAGCTTAAACTTCTTTCCTAAAACAAGTTCCATTGGATTTCCCATAGTTCTGCTATCATCTATTACTGTTTTTTGTGGATTACATTTTGTTGTTTTAAAATGAAATACTACCTAAAAATTGCAATATAATACTCATTACAATTGCTAATATTTAAAAAGAAATTAGAATGAATATTTAAATAAAATAAAATGTTGATTTAAATACATGCATACTTTGGTTCCAGGTACAAAATTAATTGTCTTTGTTCCTGCATGAATCATAGTTTTTACTATACATTCCTTGCTTTCCATTTTGATAGTCTTAATAAAGACAATAATTTAAAAAAGCTGAACTCTTAAAAATGAACCTAAAAATTTGTAATTTTGGTATTATCATTAATTTTAATAATTCTAAAATATTTTGTTTACATCATTATTTATATACGTTTATTTTAAGGTTAACTTTTTCATTTGGAAATATATTTTTTATCAAACTATTTTCAAAACTGTTGAGTATATAAATTTAATAAATTCCTTAACAATCCTCTAGTTTCCGCTGAGTCAATACTTAAACACAAAAATACAAAATCATCGATAATCACGAACCGCAAGTCATTTCGCAAGAGAAAGAGTATAGAAGTAGTTACGTTTCGTCTTCCAATGTGCCATTAATTCAGCCTAACTTCTGCCGAAATTATCTTAAAAATTGTTATCTAATCATTCAGAATTTGATAACTGAAAATTTTATAATCAGAAACAGTTATTAGTAATTACTTTCCTAGATTCATATGCATTCTGCAGTGATATTTCAATTCTTAAATATTTTTTAATAGTTTTTTCAAATCATAATAAATATTTATAAACTGGCTGGTAATAATAATTGTGTAACATTAGCATTCGTTAAATGTAATATTTACTAATATTACGCGTATGCTTGTTAGATAATTAAAGCAATTTCAAATACTAATAAGGTTTTTCTAAAAATGTTTCATTTAGGAGAGGGTAAATAAATTAAAATAAGTGACGTAAATTTCAAATTTTAAATAAGGTATGATGATATTTATGCAGGTAGAGAGAATTATACCGTTATTTGAACTTTATCTAGTGAATAATTAGCAATTTCATATGCATGAAAAACATGCGTCATGCGTCTTATGCAGTTTGCGGAAACTTACAACAAATTGTAATTTGTCATCAGGTAGCTATAAACGGGCTAATTCATAGCAAATTTTAAACCTTCACCAGTACTCCAGTAGTAGCCAGATGAGTATATCTAACAAAACCAGTGCTTCCATTGAAAATATAAATGGACACAAAACATGTAGTAAGTTAACATTTTGTCTATTAACATTTATGTCATAGATTTTTAATTAGGTATTCCTGTAGTATGTTATTGATTTTTAGATGCAGAAGAAATTCAAATACCTGTACCATGGGGTCACATACACGGTCAGTAATAGTTTTAATTTAATATAATTTCTTTAATTTTAATTATAATTGTGAATATATATGTGAAATTGTTCAAACTTATGTTTCAATGAAATTAAAAACATATCATAGTACAATAATAAATTTAGGCAAATGGTGGGGACCAGTGGATGAACAACCGATAGTGGCATTACATGGCTGGCAAGATAATGCTGGAACATTTGATCAATTGCTTCCATTATTACCATCAAATGTATCCATTTTAGCTGTAGATTTACCTGGTCA